AACACGAAAAGGTCTTTGTCCACCACCTCTGCGCAAAACACCCGCACCACGTTGACTATAAAGAAGGGCAGCCAGCACAGGGTGAACGTCCCCATGATGATGCCCAGCGTTTTGAGCGCCTTCTGCTCCCTGAGCGCCAGGATTTTAGACGGCCTCTTCCTGCACTTAGAAGTCAGTCCGGTTAAGGTGTTGTGAAACCTGCCCTCACACTTGTCAATCTTCCTCAGTTGCTTCTGCGCCTCTCTATACACGCGCGCGTAAACAAAAATCATAACCAGCAGGGGAATGTAAAAAGATATGACAGATGAGGAGATGGCATATGCCCTGTTGGTGACAAAGTCGCAACATTCAGGGTCCTCGTAGCAGGCAGTGTCCACACTGTCCCGGGACCAGTGCATCAGGATGGGGAGGAAAGACACCAGCGCAGAGATGGCCCACACAACGCACACCATCGTTTTGGCCCGAGCTTTGGTTAACAAGCTTTGGTAGCGGAATGGAGAGGTGATGGCCACGTACCTGTCTATGGCGATAACGCACAAAGTCTCGATGCTGGCCGTGACGCACAGGACATCCACGGAAATCCAAAACTCGCAGAAAAAGGAGCCGTACATCCAGGAGCCGCGCACCTCCAGCGCGGCGCCAAACGGCACCACCAGCAGCCCCATGATGAGGTCCGCACTGGCAAGGGACACGATGAAGACATTGGTGAGGGTCTGCAGCCTCTGCGTTTTGGCTATGGCCACGATGACCAAGATGTTCCCGAACACGATAGACACGACAATCAGACCCATCAATAGGCTCATCCCTGCCATCCACTCCTCGGACGCGGCCGCAGCGGAGCCCGGTGCGTCCGAGGCATTCTGGAGGTTCACCTGCGAGGACGCGCCGCCGTCCCCCATGACGGGCTGCTGCGCTGTGTGCGGGACCAGATCCAGTTCATCCAGGCAGTCGTTTCTACTGTTTCGCCGTCACACGAGCCACAGCTCCTCTCCGGTCGCGCGCCAATTCCATCTGGAGGTCTTATCTCACCCTCAGCTTATGCGAGCTGCTGCACTGGCCCGGCACATCCAAGCAGGCGGTGACATCACTGCTCCTCAGGACCAATCAAAAGCAGCTCAGAGGAGAAATTGTCAAAACAATAAAGTGGAGGGAGCAAACAACACCTGAACCTCAACAATTATTCATTCAGCGTCAACTTTGTGTCATGTTTTTATAATGTAACATTGAAAAGCAACACTTTCATTCAGGAAGAGGAGGACATTTATGGCAAGAGTTGTAACAACATCCTGAATCTGATATTTGTCAAAGAGTCTGCCTGTCTTTGGGAACATGACAAGCCAAACATGGAGATTCAAAATCCACCAGGATAATGGGAACTACATGGATTTCACTGGTTTCATCGCTTGCCATCACAAACAAGATTTGTTTTTCCACTTGTTCACTTCATATTTTTATCGCAAAGAATACATTCCACAGTTATGTGGTCAGGCCCCACCACAGATCTGCTTTGTATGAAACCCCCTAACAATGAGCCAAGGGTTAAGACAATCAGGGACAAACCAGGGCCAGGTTCATTAAAATGTGTGTTAAACATATATTAAGGTTGTTCAATATTTACAAGATAAGTTAAAGGTTGATTTATCAACCAGCAGAACAAAGCAGCAATTTAGGCTGAGGAACATCAGGCAGACATGTTATACAGTTGAAACCATGTAACACAAAGATAAAAGATCTGAAAGACAGAAAGGAGACAGAAAAAATGTGACATTATTCAAAGAAAATAAAAGATTTAGAGAAGTGATTGAAAAGTTGACAATGTTCTGATTTGGCTGAATGGAGCTCCTCCTGCTTGAATAATTTTAAAGATCTAACTCTTTCTGGCTCTCCAATTGTAACCCCCCCCCATTTTAATGTTCTTGCAGGAAGGAACATTAATTTTAAAAGACAGCAGCCTCTATTGCACATTACCTGCTTTTTAAGACAGCCTTTTAGTCTACAGTTTAATGACAAGACTTTCAACACACAAGGACGGATGACCCGTTAAGTGGAAGAACTTGCATCGCCTCGTGACACACATACCGCAAACAAAGATGGGCGACACAGTGCTTCTTGTCCTTGTGTGTGTGCTGAATATCATGAACCTGACAACCCAGAGCCAGAGGCTGTGACACAAGCTGACACAAGCTGACAAAAAGCTCATCTCAGTGACAGCCACAAAGAAATGTCTGGTAACATGAGAGCATCAGAATAACATATTGAATATTATCAACAAATAGATTATGATATATTATTTTTGGGTAATATTATATAGAAATGCATTGGTGAATTTACAAGCTAGCAGTATCTAACTGTGTTTTATAGCTCTACTCTAACCAGCTCTAACATTCAAGTGGTGTACAGATATTATTGGAAATGGGTAATTGTACATAATTTTACTTTAATTTATGTATACCTTTGCAGGACTTTTACTTGCAACAGGGTATTTCTAGAATGTGGTATTACTGCTTTTAGTTATGTAAACTATTTGACTACCAGGCTTTTCTTACCGAGATATGAGGAAGCTAAATGAATGATAACTATTCATCAGACTTCTAGGGGTTTCTAAGAAATGCAGTTCTTAAAAAATAGGAAGGACAGCTCAGTCCCATTTCAGAAACTGGCTGTTATTTTTGGTACAATATGGACTGCGTGGCAACCTTACAAGAGTCAATTTTGCAGGAGTATTGGTCTGTTTAAGAGGCTACATTTATATTTGAGCAAAGTGCTCTCCACACACTGAGCAGCTCCTAACTCCCACATATCTTTGTGCAGGTCTTGCATGCCACCATAAAGAGCGGTAGAACAGTAAACTTGACTTAGCAGCTTGACCTCAACACCTGCACAGAGCCAAAGGTCAACAGTGATTACATCATCTGAAATGATGCCTTCCTGTTTGGAGTTTCTGAGCAGAGGTCAATTCAGGTGAACATTTTCAGCAGCTCCATTCATCATAAATCACTTGTCACAAAAGCTATAAATATGGTAATATCTTATCTCTTACAAAGATATGATCTTAATGGAGCCCACTCAGCCAGAGCGAAAAGCGAACACATGACTCGGCAATTAAAACTTGTTTAGAAACTGTGATTTTCCTCTTCACCAAACATCATGGTTTTAACTTCTAAACAAACACCCTGTAACTTAAATTTCATAGCTTCACACATTAAATCTTTTTATTTTATTTTTACACAACACCTTTTAAGAACTGCATGGAGGTCAGCAACAATTAACCAGTGTCAGCTTCATGCATCATATGAGGGTCATAAGAATAACATGCCCTGAGGAAAGCTTTTCTAAAAGCTATTTTTTGTGCTGTTAAAAGAAGCTGCGTGCAGACGGAGGCTTTTATCTGATCACCCAGATACAGAATCCCCATGGCTAAATTAAGGGGTTTGCAACCTTTTAAATGAATATCAATCTGTTATATCACCAAATAGGTCGTCGTTTGCAAAGCTCCTGATGGCAGACCCGTGACCTTTGAAAATCATGTTAATTGAGAGTGTGTTTGTGTGTGTGGCCTCTGGCAGTGATGACGGCGGCTCAATCTCACAGGGTTAATGATGCCGCCAGAACGACAGCGAGGGAAGCAGCTGTGGTTGGGGGTCAAATGGATAGAAAAAAGATTCAATAAGAGAGAGACCTGATAATATCTCCTGTTGTGCTTCTCTCTTTGTTATGACTTTTAAAGTGATTATCTCATCCGCTGCCAGATTGATCACAAGTAATCACAGATTCATCCATACGACTTGTTAAAATTGCGTTAAATGCACGACTACTCTGGACAACTTCATAATAGACTCTTTAACACTAATGAATTGTTGGACATACAGTACGCTGTGTTATCATTTTTACCTTATCAGAAATGTAAGTCTTTGAGGTTTTATAGTAACTTGTTTGACGATAACTGATGCCGTTTTTGGACCTCAGTGTTTTTCTTCATGTCAGTTTGCCGTCTAATGTTTTGCAGACACTGTCAAATTGATGTGTTGTTTTTGTAAACTTCTACAGCCTTATGTATATGTAAAAAGGATATGAAACAACTACAATAAGCACATGTTCACATAATAACAATATATTTTATTAGTATTTTACTATACATTTAAATCTTTGGTAGAAAGGTATAATATTTAGGCCGAGTGCCACAGACAGTTGGTGAAAGTGTTGAACCTTTTTGTCTTTTCACATGTGAATAGAAGGAACACTGTGGGCCTTATCTGTGAAATGTATTGTCCTCCATCACCTCAAGAGTGCTGATTGATCGTTGATGACTCCTCCTATCCTGGGACACTTTTGTTCTAGGGTAATCTAGAACACTAGAACCTGACACAATATAAGGTGACACGAGTCATTTATTTTGTCCCCTGCACCACTCAGACTAGTGGTAATGTGTGTCGTCTCTGGAAAAAAAAAACATTACTCGAAAAATCTCAGCCATCTCTTTTCTGTAATTGTATTTTGGCATTCCTAGCGAGGAAATGCCGTACATTCAATTCATTTTGTATTTAATGGAGTGTAAAACAAAACACATAGTTCCTGCATTCAGGCTGTAATGTTTAAATAAAAGCTATACGTAGTAATAGCATGCATTACTCATTACTAATCTAAGGGAGAATGTGCTGCTTCTGGAGGAAAAAACGAGACAAATGTGAGGTATTTACCATATTTTGTAAACAGGAAGTCTCTCTCCTGAGGTTGCGACCATTTAGGAGTGACCGAGCTCATTAGTGAAGCTTTTGATCCTATCTCACATAGCAGAGCTGCTTTAAATATAAATATACAGAGTGTTGTGTGACCAGATACTCATTACTCAAACGCTTGAAATATGTGACATGACAATCATTTGTATGGAATTGCAGCAAAAATAACGAGTTTACTCTCAAAGTGCAGCATTAAGAGAATAGAAGGAATCTAGGGAGAGTTTGAAAACAATATCAAGAAACTCAATGCCCACAAGCAGCTAGTCAAGCTCATTGTTGTTTATTTAAAAAACGCCATAGGGATAGAACAGCTGAGCTATAATCTTTCGCAGTTCATTCGAAATAAATATCTGGTGGGAATAAAACCTTTTCCCATTAAAAGAGGTGGGTTTTTATTGCTTTTGATACAGTTTAGGTTATCTCATTCACACCATCCTTTCAGTAACCAGCTTTTTTGCAAGGCACTTCCAAACCAAATAAAAACATTCCTACAATGACAATTATGTTGTGAGACATGATGACAGAAATGCTCACCCAAGCACTCTCAGACCCTCTTCTGACAACAGCTCATAAATTAGAAAACCAGTAAGGGAAAATGAGATTATTATGTTACTGTACGCTACACAACAGGAAGCACAGTGTGTTACGGTAAAGCATACTTCTCTTTCTTGTTGTGTTCCCTTTTATGGAGGGGATATGAAGCGGATAAATGCTTGTTAGAGAGATTTTAAGACGTTTTTCTTAATTCAATATCCTTCAAAGTGCACAAGCAGCAGTTACTCGGTGTCATAAGTTCACCAGTTATCAAAAACAGGCATTTTCGTTCTTAGATAACTTAAGCAAAAGGGCTCCTTGTGTTGTGAATAATTGCAATAATAAGTATAATCAGTCATACATGGAGAGGAGACAGGAAAAAGCTTTAACATACATGCGTGAACTTTGTAAAGTAAATATGAATGTTCTGTCTTCAGTGACATTCAGTAGATAAATGTTTACGCAAGATGTATTAGAGCGCCTGAAGGCACCATCAAGCTGACTGACTGTAAACTAAAGCAACCACACACAGACATGGACATATATTATTCAATTAGAAATAGCAGAAACTTGTTTAATACCCTGAAGTTTCTAATATATTAATGATGGTATTTACTTGTAAGTAATTCTTTTATCACCCTCAAAAGATCTTTCCCCTTTTTATAACTCATTAGCATTCAAAAGCAGAAGCAGAATGAGAAACTACTTTGGAATTATGAATGAATCTAAAAGAAAAAGCTCCTTTAATGTTTGTGAGAATTTATGTTTGTGTTTTATGTTTGAACAGAAGGCATCTAATTTGCCAGAATTTGTGCTTACATTTATTTGGAATGTAAACCGTCTACTCTTTGAATTTCGCATCTGGTGGATCAGGTGAAAATATCAAGCTAATTACAGGCTTCTTCTTTGCTATGTTAGGAAGTATTTTTGAATCAAACACCACTGACACAATCATCACCACCTGCTGATTAAATATTCTTAATACGTTGCAAATTAAATCCACAGGATATATTTTACTCTCTGCATTAATGTAGTCCTGTGACAGTGTTTTATATAAAATAGAAAATGTTGGCAGTTTTCTTACAGTAGCCTAGTACAGCCTGTCCTTGTAGGAATTTTTGCATAAATAAACCATCATATAAACATAATTATTTAGGCAGCAGTTGTATTTGCTGTCCTTAATGACATGCCTGGGGGTGTACCTATTTGCATTCCTACCAATAACTGTCCCTCACAGCACTGATGCATTATGTTTCTTAGAGGGGGCTTCGGAGTAGTTTCAATTGAAATTCCGATGAAAATAAGGTTTGTATCACATTCTTTTAAAAAGTGACATTCATTGTTTTCTTCTAGAAAAATGAACTCAAAAGGGTGTTGAGCTGGATGCAGCTGAAGTGAAAACTGACCACATGGAGTGTTGATTTTGTCACTATTGCGAATAAAACATGTAAGAGGTTTTAGAAAACATGAGCCAACGCCACAGTGATTTCCTCCTCTTTGGGATCGGCACTTATTTGAAGGGGCTGGGTGAAGCAGGCTGCTTTCATCATACAAGTTGTACCTGTCTTCATACAGTAGAAGACCCAAACACTCAGAGTGAGGTTAGGGTGGCTGTTCAAGTCCTTTATAACTGCTGGAAGTTTGGTTGAGATGGAGAGCGGCTTCGACAGATCCATGATGTCACCGGTGACCACAGATTCGTCTAGCAGCCACTCGTTACCTGGGAAAACAGGAAGGACACTCTTGTAATCCTAATGCTCTCATGGGGACAAAACCAACAGTCAAGCTAATCAAGTAACGGATAAAGTGTCCACAAAACTAGGCTAGTTGTCTTTTGCTTAAAGCTAACGTCTTTATGCTAATATTAAGCAGGTATTATGCCAACATTTGAGCAAATATTAACTTATTAGCACTAGAAGAAATCAAAAGTATTGGATAAAGTCAGATGTTAAACTGATTGCGCACCACAGTCATTAGGATACATCCTCTGGGGACCATGAATATCATTAAATACGCAATATGATATATGTCCGTGTGACAATGAAGGTCGAAAAATCTATTCTTATTTTCACAATGTGCTATGTTCTTAAAGGGCGGATGTACATTATTATTTTTTTTATTTTTTTTTTAAATGTATGGTTGACTGGGCAAGGTGCACATCGTGTACTTGAGAGTCTCCAGACTGAGCACAAATGGATTCTTTTACAAGATCGCCCTCACAAAACCCCACTGAATCAGACGCAGTGAGGGAGAGGACATACATTTATTGAAACACAGGCTTTATTTTTAGCATCAGAACACAAATCTGAAGAGACATGCCGACTGAATGATGAATGATAGTTGAAAAGGGAATGCTAGAACTCGGACTGTGAGAAAATATTATGCCAGAGAAACCGTCAAATCCATGCCAGCGGTGATTAATGAAGCTGATGCCTAACATAAGGTCCCAGGGTTCTAAAAAGCCACTAAAAAACAATTTAAATCCGCCGTGCACTTCCAACTTGATCCATTAAAATTCCTGCCACTGCTCTGATCTGATCGACGTAAGTCTAGACCGGGTATAATAGGACAGCGGGGGGGGGGGGGGGGGGATCGAGTAACATAGCCTGGAAGCTAATTATGTGAACCAAGGCATGTCGTCTTATCGAAATGTTCTAAAAATAACCCTCTGATATCGCTGACTGCATGCTGCGACGCTCACAATGATGGAAACATTTTTCGCTTCAAACCTAATGAACAGACTATCACCGCTCACTAACATGATGTCTACAAATCCCTTCAGCTTTAGACTACTGGCTGAATGTTGAAAAATACCCTTTTGAATAGTTTTAAGCTATAGAAATCAGATATTACATTTCCCATGCCATGCAAAACCTCACTTTGAGTCCCTGACTGATCTAAATATTCCTCCATCCCCCAGCTGAGAACTTTTAATCCCAGGCGTGGGCCGGCAGAGTGAGAATGACTTTCTGTGCAGTGAACACAACAGGAGGGTTAAGCATCATTCACTTCCAGTGTTTTCTGACAGAACCATGGATCACAGACCAAAATAAAGCTGAGAAGGAGAGGTTGAGAGGCTCCTATTCAGAACAGGGTTGTTAGAGTAGAGTTTGGGTTGCCATGACACGTATAAATACAACTTTTAAAAACAATTGCAAACAATAGCCGGGCCTTTGCTAAAAATGTATGAATCATGCCTTGCACGAACGCACTTCCATTAAAACAGCAAATTTAAGTATGGAAATGGGATTTGTTGATGTTCACTGTTATTTTCTTGCTTAATTCAAACCACTGCCCCTCAATATAACCTTTGCAGCAAGTCTTTTTCAAATCCAGCTGCCTTTGATGAATTGACTGCCTGATAAACCCCTCCCCTGAACAGTAGTCGTCCAATCATAGCTTAGCAACAGCAGGCTTTGAGTCTCTCTGCATGTTGAAGCAGTGTGCTGTAGTAAAAGCCTTGACTCAGTATCAAAATAAATTGCATTCATTTGTCTGTGTCTTTACAAAACCAAAAACTCATATACATACCCTTTATTTCCATGTCTTCTATACGTAGAAAGCCTCAGTGTTTTAGCCTGAGATCATGTATGAGAAGCCAGTAAATTCATTTTGAAAACCCTTTCTTTTTTCTTCATGAGTCAGCTTTTTGAACCAACTCGTAGAAATTATGTTTTAAACCAGCTGACAGCTGTGTCGATAATTGAGAGGGGTGCCTTTGTCAGCATATGGATGAAATCAATAACCCATTGTATCTAATGCGAGTAGTGTTACATTTACTATGGACATTTGACAGGCGCAGCAAATGTAACAGAGTAAGGTCAAGTCGCCTTTAACGGATAAATGGAGAAGTACTTAAACGGGAATATACATTTGACATGCATGATGACATTAGTAACAGCGATTGTCCTACCCTCAGCTGAGAGAGTCCAGCAGCTGGGGGCCTCCTCGGTCAGTTTGGTTCCTTCTGGAAGCGTCAGAGTGAGCGAAATGACGAGAGTCTGGCCAGCTGACACGACCACTGGTGGCATTTCCTTCCTGGCGGCCGATTTCGGCAGCGTCGGAGCTTTTGTAGGCTTTGAAGGTACTGAGTCAGTGCAGTCTGTAGAGATGGGGAACTGGAAGAAGAGACATTTGGGTGTTTTTCGATTAAAGAACAAAGAGAAAGCTATTGGCACTAGTGGAGCCCTTTCTCTGTAACCTTTTATCCAGACTCCTCTAGCTTTAAGGGTAGATTAATAACACGCATGTGGACAACATCAAAAGAGCTTGAGTCTGGAAGGGAGCTTTTTTTTCATACACACCAGTGAAACGGTCTTGGAGGACAGGTCCAGCACTTTGATTTGGTGGTTGTTGGTATCTGCCACATAGAGGATTTTGCCGTTGTCCCCCACGCAGATTCCTCCAGGTTCATTGAAGCAGGATGTGTTAAACTCGGGGCCCGCAGTGTCTGCAGCCTCTCCAGTCCCTGCTAACGTGCTACACTGCTTCGTCCTTGGATCCACCACCTTGATCTAAACAAAAGGACACAGACACCAAAAGGTCAACATTGATGTTTCCTGTCTGGATCGAAAAGATTTGTCCATTCAACATCCCTAAAGGAAAGCATCATGACGACCAAAGCATGGCTCCAGCTTTGAACTACAGCCTCGTGACATGCAACGGTTACCTTGTGGTTGTAGGAGTCGGCCACATAGAGCAGGCTTTGTTCAGGAGACCAGGCCACACCGAGAGGATGCTGCAGCTTGGCGTCCACTCCTTTGCCGTCGAGATCCCCGAAAGCAAAAAGGTTCTGGTTCAGGAGAGATCAAAACAAAGATATGAAAACTTGTGACCTGACGGTATGTGTAAATTCAACATTGGTCAAAGAACAAAGTGTCCTTTCTAATTTATTTCAAACCTTTTAGGAAAAGAATAACGAAGCTTTTTAACCGTTGAGATAAAGAGCTTTCTTCGGAAAATCCAAGACGAAACCTTTAAAATAATTGTGTCTTATTTCATTATTTGAAAAAGGTGTATAAATCATTCATACAGCAACAGATTCAAAATAGTAAATACTCCACATTTGTAAGAAATAGCAGAATCACCTTTAACAAATGGCCGGATTAGTTACTATTCTTGAGTGAAAACTGTCCTGTGTTTCAGGGATAAATGTCCTAAACAGATAAATGAATTACTTTGTGAAATAAACAGATTTTGATTGATCTCAGCTGTATAAACAGAAGAATATCTGACTCTCCCAGAGGTCACTCAACAATGGCTGCTGAGAGGGAGATTGCAACCTAACTTGCTTTAGCACTTGCTTTCTTAACATTTATGAGAATTCAAGATAGGTTTTATTTTCCTTTACTGTTTTGATTTGATAGAAAACAATGGCAGCTAAAAAGAAAACTGAATCTTAAAGAGAAATGTGTTTGTTATGAAGTCAGCAGGACTGTGACCTCTGGGTCAGCTTGGGATGCAGCTGCTGGTGAAGGAAGTGTTCAAATTCAGACAGAAAAACTGGGACCGCTTAATAAGCACGGAAACACAACACGTTGCTCATACAAAGATGTCTACTGATCGAGACTTTGAGCTTATAAATGCATACAAATACATGCATTGTAAAAGCTTAGGCTATGAAAGGAAACACTGTGATAACAAAAACCAAAAATGTGCATACAGACATTTTGATTGCTATACTATTATTATAAAACATGTTCCTTCCATCTGGCCCATTATGGCTTTGTAATGCAGCAAACACAGGTGGGTATAAAGCAGCGGAGTTCTCTCAAGAGAAATCAGAGGAGAACAGGAAGAAAAGAGATGAGACAAAACCAAGTTTCTAATTGATCCACAAACAAAGCTTTGAACAGGCCCTGTCCCTGTTTGAAAGTCCAAATTGAACTTTTCAGAAATAGGAACATTGTATCCGAACTTTAACTCTCACAAAAGAGCTGCCGCTTCGAAAAACATTCTCCTCGCCTTCTGCAAAGCCGAACATTATGTCGAGATGATGAATGGGGTTAAGAGAGGATGTAAGCCCGCTCTTTACAGAAACACTGAATCGGACTGACTTATCTAAAACCAGGTATTGTGCCGGTCTCAGCATTGAGGTGTTCAAATCTCCTGTGAGCTGAAATTACACTGGCTGCCAAACACGGTGTGCGTCAAAGTCAAAGTGACACCTTGCCAAGCTGCAAAAGCAAGTGCAGCCAACACCTGCACTCTGTGGTCGTGTCATTTAAGAAAAACCTGCAAACTCATGAACACATTTTTCATTTAGTCTTCATATTTGACCATGGAAGTAACTAAGAACCACATCATATTTACAATGGCATGTCTCCTGTATGTTGGTTAAATAGATTTTGCCCCTTTAACTTTGCTCAACTAAATATTCATTTGATTTATTTGGTCGTTAAACTTTTACTGCCGGATTATATATATGGTTCTGTAAATGTGTCAGTTGGTTTTCAGGTGAACAAGCGAGCAAACACTTTTGTTCTCCCTCAAGGCCATGCCTTATTTAATGAAACCTTTTTGCTTCCAGACTTTATATTGAGCAACTGTAAACAAACTATGTGTTAATTATTGTTTACGACTGTCCAGTTAATTACTCCTGGGTCTCCAGGGTTACCACCAGGTTCAGAGCTCTTGGGTCTTTCCAAGAATACACCGGTGTGTTGCAGAAAGTTCAAACCAAGAATCGTCTTGAGGCGTTGTTTCAGTCACAAACAAGGGTGGCTGTGTTTTATTTTAATCAATATTTTTCTATCTTCTTAGAAATGGCCCCGAGTCCTTGTGCTTGCCTGGGAGTGATCCAAATCTTGGTGCAACCTTTTTTCTTCATAATTGCCAAAGTGTTTCTATGGCTGTATGTCTATGTAGTTTATTATTGTGAAGGTTAGGGTCATATTAAAAAGTTATAGCATGAGAGGTAATTCTGTTCTTGCAATCTGCTTTGGATTTCTTAACTAATGTGCATGGCATCCTCTAAGATATTATTAGATAGCTAATTACATTTTTACATAAATAGGAAGAAAGCACTATGTAAAAGATAATTTATGGACATTAAATTAACAAAAAAGGCAAACTTCATTTCAGCCACTTGGGATTCATTTTGTCCTGTTCTCTGTGGCTGGTTTGTATAAATGTAATATTCATAAACCACCATAATATAAGTCATGATGTAAACTAAAAAGGAATCTCGTAGAAAAGAGATAAGGTAGAAAAAAAGGCCTCGTGATAAGAATAGAAAGGATTGAACAAATCACGAGGAATTGGTTAAAAGATAATAACTAAATTAAATCACAATGGAAGAATGTTGTCAATTAAATGTGCTGGAATAGATAACCATGAGAATTACAAACCAAGTCCATATCTTTGATGAAAGATGGGAAAAATGGGTAAATGATAGAACACAAAACATTTATAATGACCAGGTGGACAATTAATGTACGCATGAGTATTAATGTTGTACCCAATATGTGTAAGCTATATCTAATAAGTTCATATCAATGTGTTTTATTTCCCTTTCTTAACCCGATTTGTCAATTGTTATGTAGTTAATGTATGTATTTAAAGGTAGGGTAGGTAAGAGTGGAGAAACCAGCTCGAGTGCGCTAGAATTTGAAAGTACACAACCGGAAAAAAATCTACCCCTTCCTTCAGACTTCCTTACAGAGCCCCTCCTCCAACACACGGACGCGCACATGACCAATGAGGGCACGAGATAAGTTTGTGCACGAAATGGAAGGCTGACAGGCAGGTAGGCCATCCAGTTATTTTACCCGGGCCGGCTCAGATGATTGGTTGTGCTTTTTACAGCGCCACGGCTTCCACAGATGAATTTTTTGTATGTATTTATTGTCAAAGCATTTAATGTATTCATTGCTATCGGGATGTTAAGAGCATTCCATGGAATATAACAAAAAGTGTTTCTGAAGTGAATTACCTACCCCACCTTTAAGTGCTCATTTGAATATGTATGCCTTGTAATGAAATACAAAATGCAAATAAGAAATAAGAAAAAATAAGAAATCATCAGCATCATGTTGACACCCACCAGTGGATCCCTCTCCCCCCCGACCAGCATCTTGACGGCTCCGTCCTTCAGGGCCAGCGTGCGGATGGAGGAGCTCTCACTGTCGGCCACGTACAGGCAGCTCCAGGGCTCCTCGGGGGCCGCAGCCAGGCCTGAAGGCTGGGCGAAGCCGGCCTTGTGCGGGTACGCGTTGTTCCGGTTCTCCTCGCTGCCGCTGCCGGCCCACCGGACGCACGTCCCCGCCTTGGACTCGCTGTTAACAATGTAAAAATGGAAGAGAATGACAAAACACCTCAATATATTGTACAGAGCTACCTCTTTTAATATCTGCACAGCTTTCCACTTATAACAATACTGCACATATTTAATTTGTATTCCATTTTATTTAATAATACATGGGATTTGTATAGCGCTTTTCCTAATGCTCAAAGATGCTTTACATAAAATCTGAACAGAAATAAGACAAAGAACAGAAAAAACATAAACAATAGTCCAATAATATAACAATTTATACGAGTATTTTGAAAGAACATCCATGACATTCATCTGTTTGCAACTGAAAAATGATATACATATTCCAATTACTTGTATATAGACGCTTCTTGCACTGTTTCTATTTTATTTGTATTTACTTGCACTATTTTACCGGTTTATTGTGTTGCACTGTTGGAGGAGTCTGTGACCTAAGATTTTGATTGACATAACTACACTGTAGCTATGAACAAATGACAATAAAATCCTTGAATCTTGAATCTATTTGGTCATATTATACTGTGCGTATTTCTTTTGTAAAAAAAATATGTAAATATTTCTCTATATTTATTGTTATAATCGTTTTTTATAAGTCGCTTAACTTTTTGGTCCTTTCCTTACAATTGATCATCTTTGATTTTATTTATGTAAGCACCATATACACCAAGGGAAATTCCTCCTAACTGTGAAACTACTTGGCAATAAACCTATTTCTGATTCTGATTGCCGGATATATATGGAGTTCATTTAATCTTTTTGAATGAATGTGGTTTGCTTTTCTGAGAGGAGATGTATTAGTGGCTGCTGCCAGGCGGCCATGATGGTCATGCACCAGTCTCTCACCTTCCTTTTGGCAGTTTCCCATCATCCAGGAACAAAGCCCAGATCTGGTGGGTCCCTGCCATCGCTATCCACAGCACGTTATCTTCAGATCCGCCTACACATACACACAAAAACACACAGAAACACACACGAACATCATCAATGTCACTGTAGCACTCCGATTCAGAAGGTGTAGGGTCCTCTTGATTAGGTTGATTTATTCATCCATACACATGGCGAATAAGTCATGAATATGCAATGAGGGTTTGGATGGATTTTCAGAGGACAATGTTAGTGGAGTTAAAGGTCTGATATCACACCCTCAGACCATGTGGTGATCATCCATCAAGCTGCACACAATGTGACCATGACTGATTACCTCTGGCCTACAGTCTGAGTGCAATGAGAATATAATTGGCTCTAAAATATCTAGAATTACTGCTTTAAATTAATATTTGAAAGAGCGTACCTCCGAAATGTAAACTGACCATTCCCGAGTACAGTACACGCCACGGGCTGAATAAACAACTCTGTCAACGTTCATCTTTTGTTTGATTTAGGAAAGGTCACAAGGACATGCTTACATTGAACAACAACTGTCAGCTGATACAACACCACAGACTTAGAGAAGACACCTAATGGTTAACAAATATTAACCTGAGGCTAGAAAGTTGTAAGATGTGCAGATGATTATAATTTTTAAGTAAATATCAGTTTAAATCCCTTAGACTTTTTACTTTCTCCAATTGAAGGTTTTTTTTTCCTGTTAATTGTTATAGAAGTCTTGATTTGTTACAATTTAAACTGCATTTTGAACAAATAAATACCTAAATAACAGAGGGTGTGGTGTGCTCCCAAAGTAAAGGGTGCAAGGAAGTTTATTCAAATTTTGGAATAAGATTACATTTAATGACTAAAATATAAATAAAGCTTAAATTGTGCATAATAACTTTCTCAACATTTCCAAATTATTCTAGCTTAGAGGACCAAACAATGCTGCTCAATAAGACAACAACATACACCGTCACCAGAGAGGTGTGTGTGTGTGTGTGTGTGTGTGTGTGTGTGTGTGTGTGTGTGTGTGTGTGTGTGTGTGTGTGTGTGTGTGTGTGTGTGTGTGTGTGTGTGTGTGTGTGTGTTGGAAGTCTGCTGGTCTGTCAGTTCTTTGCTGACTGATTAGCCCTGAAGGCAACACAAGAAATGCACTTTCATTCAGAGACAAAAGGTCTGAGACATTCAAAAGCTTTCTGCTTTGATGAAACAAAACAAAAAAAGATTAAGGAACAAACTCTGAACGCCCAAGGCAAAAACAATAAAGGCATTTAGGGACTGAGCTTAGATTTCTGAAGAAGTGGAGCTCTTAGATGACTTCATGATAATAGGAAAGAAATTGTCAGCTCCTTTAAAGTTGTTTCCGACTTGCATAGTTTCAACTTATTATTGATGTCTCTCCTCAAAATGAGTCAGTCAAACCATCTATATAGATTTTACAAAAAGGTCTACAGAGTATCCCTCATGAATGAGATTCTATTGATTAAAAAGTTATTCTAATAACTTAACTTGCCTTTTCGATTCTCCCAAAACAATTTATGCACTGATAAGTACACAATATCAATACATTATGAAGGGCCCGTTTAATAAAAGCTAGATCTTTTGTGACTGATTGAAGCCTCCGCATCAATCAGAATAGCTTTACTGAAGGTGGATCATATATAATATTTATACAATGTAATTTTGTTTTACTTAAAACATATTGTTATTCATACGCGTTTGATTTTTATGCACTTTATGCAAACTATCCCTCCAAAAGGCGTGAATTCACACCCCAATCTTTTCTAAGAGTGTGAGATATGGTCACTTCCTGTTTGTAATAGACGCATCCTTTCCCGTTGCTTAAATCTTAGTAAACTGTCATCTGCCAAATGTTAACCCCCAAAGACATGCGAGACAGAAGGGTCAGCTTGACCTTTCTCTTGCTATAAAGGATTATTGATTGTTTTGCGGCATGAAGAAAGTAAAGCACGACATGAGAGCAAAAGCATGCTCGGAGGGGAAGATAATGAGATGCTGGAAATGTTTCGCTTCAAGTCTGACCACGAGACTCACCGGCGGTCCCGAGGGTCACATCCCAGGGAGAGCTGATGGGCTGCTGGGGTCCCAGGGCCCCCCCCTCTTTGTCTGTGCCTTGAGCACCCACTCCAGCGAGAGTGCTGACTCTTCCCTCCAACAGGTCAATCTGCAACACAGACAAAGGTGTTAACATCAAGTGACGTTGAATTTATGAATAAAAGGTTATTTAAAAAGAGGTAGTTTGGAGTGCTACCTTTCTGATCAGGTGGTTTTCAGTGTCGGCCACGTATAAAGTGTCCCCTTTAATGGCCACGCCCTGAGGGGAGTTAAAGGAAGCTTCAGACAAGTCGCCATCTTGTCTCCCACTTTTAGGCCCTGGGACAGAAATGAGAGTCCAATCAATGTTACATTTTCACTACTCTTCCCCACTTATAGGTCATATTGAGCCCTGCAGTTTAATCTTTTTTCAGTATGTTATGCATAAAAGCCTTTTTCTTTGCCAAGTTGTAAATGCTGAAACATTTTAACACATAGATGTATATCTGAAGAGATGGATAAGGCTTTCGAGCTTTGATGGGAAATGTGTGAATCTTCAAAGCTTTATACGAGGTGTTCTGGCATTCAACATGTATCTGTAGACCTATGTGCAATTCATATTGAAATGTTACTCAGCAACAGCAGTTTTAATTATTCCTTACATATCGAATTAAAATAAATCCCTTTCAGTTAGCACTTTTCTATCTTCCCTGCATGCATTTAAGGTAAAGGAAAAATGTCTTTTTGATTCTTAATACAAAGGATATGTACAGGCATACTTGCCTTTTTACAGCTGGAGCAAGGGTGGTCTTTCATGTAACAATTGATGAAAACATTGACTAAATAATTTCTAAAGTATGTATCTATCAAATTTAATAAGTATATCTTTAAATGATCTTGACGTTTTCAACTTTTTATGCATATATAAATGTTAGAAATTCCCTGTAGGGATGAGTGGTGTCCACAAATATTACAAACTGCATTTTCCCCCCTCATTTTGTCCACACTTAGGTCCGTGCCAGTTCCCAGCATGCACTGGTCCCTGTTGTTGCCAACCTCTCTGTTGGCCGGGGTCAGTCTACCATGAAGCTCCTCTGAGGGCTGTTGGGGCGTGTGAGTAATCTCAAAATATCAATGAGGCCTTAATATTGTTTTTGTACAGATTATTTACTAATTTTCACGAAGCAAAAACAATATTAATTTTGTATCCACAACTGAAATAAATAAGCACATATTATAATATAAACATGCCCCTAAAATGCACATCTTAGTATTATTTTTTTAACCTTTTTTTTGCCTTTATGTATTTATTATAGATAGAGGTCAGACGGAACGGTAAGTGGGAAAGGAGGACATTCAGCAAACACCAAAGGTTGGATTTGAACCCTCGCCGCTGCATTAAGGACTCAGCTTTGATATACAGTGCATCCGGAAAGTATTCATACCCCTTAACCTTTTTCACATTTTGTTATGTTACAGCCTTATTTCAAAATGGATTAAATTCATTTTGTTTCTCAATATTCCACACATAATACCCAATAATGACAAAGTGAAAACGTTTTAAAAGATTTCTTTGCAAACGTGTTAAAAATAATCAAATGAAATATCACATGTATATAAGTATTCACACCCTTTGCTATGCCACTGAAAATAGAGCTCAAGTGCATCCCGTTTCCACTGATCATCCTTGATATGTTTCTATAACTTGATTGGAGTCCACCTGTGGTAAATTAAATAGATTGGACATGACTTGGAAAGGAATACACCTGTCTATATAAGGTCCCACAGTTGACAGTGCATATCAGAGCATAAACCAAGTCATGAGGTCCAAGAAATTGACTGTAGACCTCAGAGACAGGATTGTATCAAGGCACAGATCCGGGGAAGGGTACAGAAAAATGTCTGCAGCATTGAAGGTCCCAACGAGCACAGTGGTCTCCATCAGTTGCAAATGGAAGATGTTTGAAACCACCACGGCTCTTCCTAGAGCTTGCTGCCCAAACCAAACTGAGCATCGGGGGAGAAGGACCTTAGTCAGAGAGGTGACCAAGAACCCGATGGTCACTCTGACAGAGCTCCAGTGTTCCTCTGTGGAGATGGGAGAACCTTCCAGAAGGACAACCATCTCTGCAGCACTCCACCAATCAGGCCTTTATGGTAGAGTGGCAAGAAGGAAGCCACTCCTTAGTAAAAGGCACATGAAAGCCCACATGGAGCACCTAGAGGACTCTCAGACCATGAGAAACCAAATGGTCTGGTCTGATGAAACCAAAATGGATTTCTTTGGCCTGAATGCCAAGCATCATGTCTGGAGGAAACCAGACCTGGCCAATACCATCCCTACAGTGAAGCATGGTGGCTGCAGCATCATGCTGTGGGGATGTTTTTCAGCGGCAAGAACTGGGAGACTAGTCAGGATCAAGTGAAATGCAGCAATGTACAGGGAGATCCTTGATGAAAACCTGCTCCAGAGCGCTCTGGACCTCAGACTGGGGCAAAGGTTCACCTTTCAACAGGACAACGACCCTAAGCACACAGCCACGTGAATCTGTGAATGTCCTTGAGTGCCTCAGCCAGAGCCCAGACTTGAACCGGATTGAATATCTCTGGAGAGATCTGAAAATAGCTGTGCACCGACGCTCCCCATCCAAGCTGATGGAGCTTGAGACGATCTGCAAAGAAGAATGGGAGAGACTGCCCAAAGATAGGTGTGCCAAGCGTGTAGCATCATACTCAAGAAGACTTGAGGCTGTAATTGTTGCCAAAGGTGCTTCAACAACGTATTGAGTAAAGCAGTGGTTCTCAAATGGGGGTACGCGGACCCCTAGGGGTACGTTGGAGTACTGCAGGGGGTACGTGAGATGTATTTTATATTAATGAAAAAACAACATAAGTAATGCATTTAAACAAACTACTAATAGTAGATTAACTACTTTATTCAAAAGTTTACAGTAATTCTGGATAATAAAATGGGAAAAATAAACGGGGTGCTCTCTTTTCCTCTCCCTCTCTCTCTCTCTCTTTCCCTCTCCTGACAGCCCGTCAGTCTCGTGCAGCTCGCTGAACCTGTACTAAGTGACCCGACAGTAAAGAATACATATATTTCTAACTAGTTTAGCTAGTTCCAGAGTAGATAAACTAGCTAAGTGTGTTAGGTCTAACTCTTAGTGTATTTTGCCCCGCTCACCGGTCCGTCACAGCGGCGGAGCTGTGATCCGGAAGACCTGCGTGTTCTCCGTCAGCAGCAGCTGATCTGATCGCTGATCTGATCTCTGATCTCTCTCTCGTGTCCGGTTATACTTCACTCGCGTTTATGTCGAAATCTATCAGATCTAGCTACTTCTAGTTAATTATATGACTGCCTGCTTATCAAAGGACCTAAACAATAAGCGATGCTTGGCAACGGCGTGTGGCCGCAAAGTATAGCGCAGCATTATGCATATGTTTGTATGAGGGGTCAAAATCCCATGCTCATAAAATGCTCATATATATTTTTCTCTTCATTCCCCACGCCCCAAAATAAATAAATATACCAAATTTAGGAAAAGTAACGAAGTTTGAGCAGTGTGGGTTTTATATTAACAGAGTTACACATATTTCAAAACGCGAAGTGTAATAACTGCAGTTTGCCTCCCTGTCAGAATGACAAAGATCCTCAGTGAAGCACAAGCCCATGTTTCTCACTACATTGTAAGTACAACTTATTAAAAAGATCAGTTCAATGCAACTAATGTCGTCTTAGCGTTTTGGTTTGCCATGAATTTAGTGATGGATTGTAAACATTTGAAATGTAGCATTTAAGTGTTACAAGGTTGTTGTTTTAATAAATCAGACACTGATGGTGCAGCGCCCTACTGTACCTCTTTATATAGGCTTTTTTCCCTAAAAAAATGTTTTTGCACTGACCAGGGGGTACTTGGCTGAATTTTCTTTTCAAAGGGGGTACATTATTGAAAAAAGTTTGAGAACCACTGGAGTAAAGGGTGTGAATACTTATGTTTATGTGATATTTTATTTTTTTATTTTTTATTCATTTGCAAAAATTATTTAAAAACTTTTTTCACTTTGGCATTATGGGGTATTGTGTCTAGAATGTTGAGAAAACTAATTTAATCAATTTTGAAATATGGCTGTAACATAACAAAATGTGGAAAGAGTGAAGGGGTATGAATACTTTCCGGATGCACTGTATGGTCCGCCTGCTCTAACATTTCAGCTATTTGGGCAACCACAATTTAGTATTTATTGCAATAAAAATCCACTGCAATAACTCAGGAAATGTCTTATTGCCAACTGATCTATTCCTTAATGGACATCTTGTGATCCCACTAAATCAACTCAGACATTTAAACCTAATAAACTGCATATCTCTTCCCTACTCCTTACCTCCAATGACACGTAACAGCTCTCCGGTGGAAGACACCACCAGAACCCGGTGATGCCCAGTGTCTGCTATGGCCAGTCTTTTCCTGCTGTTGTCTACGGCGACCTTTCCAGGAAAAGACAGCATGCTGGGGGGCAGGGAGTCCCGGTACAGCTTGATGCCCACTGTGTGTGTCTTCAGCAGACCCTGAGCCCCGTAGTGACGGAGGGCGAGGTCAGTGAAGAGCGTCAGCCTGTCGCGGTGGCCCTCGCCCACCAGGGAGAAGAGCAAGTTGCCCCGGGGTCCCAGGAGGACCAGGGTGGGCCAGCAGGACACCTCCAGGTCATGCCACAGGCGCGCCTCGCTGTCGTTCACTACCGGGTGGCAGATGTCATAGCGGAGCACAGCGCTGCGGACGTTGTCGAGGACCTGTAAAAAGGATCGAGCACGCATGAAAAATGAGCTGTAAATCTGTTGCTGAAAATAAGGGCTATTCTTTAATAATTCAGGGTATTTTTTGTATTATCGATTTAACTACCAGGAGCCCAAAGTGACATTGAAGTCCTTGTTTCACCTGACCAAAAGCCCCAAACTGAAATATGTACACTGTTATTTATGAAATAAAAGCATCAGTGGCATAAGATGATAAGAAAGACTAGATATAAACATTCCAAAATGTAAACATCTCAATGCAAATAAAATAGCATTAAAAAAGAAAAATTTAAAATATACATGTTGAATTACAAATGCACAGTAACTGGCCAAAGCTTAATGAAGAACAGAAAATAAACATAATAGTCCCATGAGGCTTAAGAAGATCTGACAATGTTTTCTAGTCTATAATCCTATAAAAAAAAGTAGGCTTCATGAGGCCATCATACTTAAAATTCCCCATTATCTTGATATTATTCTATTAAATACGAGGCACAAGCAGAAAAGCCTACCCACAGGTAAAAAAAGACCATGAACAATGAAAACACTTACCTTTTCATTGGGGAATTTAGCTGAGTGCACACCAACAATTACCAATCCGTCTGAAAAGGGGATTAAACAGAAAGAGAGACAAAGATAAAAATAAAACTGTCAAATATAACGGTGCAGTAAGTGGTTCGACTGAAATAACTCTCACAATCACAGCTAGTAGTTTTGGAATACATTGTCAGGATTTTAGACGTTCTGTTTCCTCAAAAAGAAGCACAAAGTCTGTCAGTTTGTATGGTACAAGGTCAAAAAGACACAAACCTCATACGCACAGATGCATGCGTCGAAGATAATTGAGGAGAAACAGAGAAACTAATGGGTTTATCAAATGAAAACCATCATGGTCTTGCTTTGTTATCAAGTCAGTGACCCTCCAACATAATAATAGGTTGATCTCAGTGACGCTCTTTGAAATGTTTCAGCGTCTGGGAAATTGTGTTTCTCAGTAGTGTTTGAAGATTACCACTATTAATATGTGTACAAACAATGAGAACAATTGGCCAGAACTACTGCCTTTTGACACTTGGACCATAAAGATGGAGGTTTTAAATGTTATGCAACAGAATAGCCTCAAACTGTGGGAAAAAAAAGCAAGATTGTGAAGCTCCTTTGATCACTCTTTTTGTTTCTAAAAAGATTACAAAACAGATGTCTTGATTCTGAATTCAACTTAACTCAATCAGCGTGGGACTTTCTATTGAAACACAGTCACTCTTGTAACCATGTAAACCTGAGGCATTATGCAACAACAAAGGGTATAATTGCTTTATACTCACTGTGGAAAATTAAATGAATAATTTAGCTGAGACAAAACAATTAGTGAGTTTGTTTCCACAACTATCACAATCTTGTTTCTCTACTTTATTTAAAGCACTCGGAAATAAGAGTGTATTTTTATATATAACTTTTTTCCACAACACCACAGGCCTGTCCAGTGGAAATAAAGCGAACAAAAGCCTTTTTCCATAAACTCACATCACTGAGCCACCCTCAACAACCTTAAGACTCGCACCATCTGCAGAGGATTTCATCACCCATGGCCTCTGCCAAGCAGTACAGCAGCAGCACAGATTGCAGTAACGATGGGTGGGTGGTTTGTTTGGGGGGGTAGGGGGGGTATGGGGTCTGTGGGAGTGACTGTTCAGGGTGGCTCCCACACCTCACTGACCAGAGCAGCAAACAGAATGTACCCACAGCAGTGCCAAAGATAAGGCGAGTGCGATAGTGTGTGGTGGCGGTGCGGTGTATGTGCTCTGCGTATTAAGAGCTGCACAGCTTCCTCAGATGATCCCGTACAGGGCCAGCAGGATGTGATGCTTTACATGGAGTGGCTATATAAAGAGCCATACGGTGAACTACAGCTGGGTACAATTATGGGCCCTGTGAGCGCCAACTCGGAAATATCTTTAGTTACTGTCTCTTCACAGTTTAGATAAGGGCCCTCGGGCGCTTGAGCAAGAAGAGGGGAGAAGTTGATGCAGTGCAGCTTCTCAGCCTCAGTGAACGTACACATGTTCCCGTGACGAAGCATGACACATAATAAGATTGACACCAAATGAAATCGTGTTCCCTTCAGTCTCTCAGCCCAATGCTAATTTCTTGTTCATTATTGGATAAATCAGGTAGGGGAGAAATGTGATATGAAAGCTTTACCAATGAGCATGTTCTTACTTACTTTGACTATTCCACCCATTCACATAAAGAGCCAATTATAATTTTGTATTAGCCTGAACTTGATATAGCTATGGTTTAACAATCATTTCTTAGTTTCTATTCACATGGCACAGATAAATTGACCCCTCTAGGTAAGCTGCTAGCCTCAAGCCGTGCTACAGATGTCTGGTAATCCCCTCTTTTTAAACTCCACACTCTCAGATATTTCTCATTTCCACTTTATCAGATTTCTCGTAGTTCCCTTTGAAGCCACTAAAGGCTTAGTTATTACTTTAAAATCACATCAAGGAGACACAGTTTGTACCGATTGCCTTGTTCCTGCATTACCATGAACATGAATACTGTAGTTAAGCCCATGCAGACTGTGTTGGTGTAATTATACATTAAAGCAATGCCTTAAAAAAAAGTCACACACAAACACACTAATCAGCCCTGTTTGAGTAATATTTGCTAAAAACTACAGGGCAAAGCTGTTTTATGAAACTACATTTATTTATTTTTCTATAAATGTATAGAAGTCAAAGTAATGAGGGATGGAAAAAAGGTGGTTATCTTTAGTATTTTTCATTAAATTAGGATGTGAGAAAGCAAACCCAAATACACAAATAATAGAAGGAAAAAGGACAAACATTGAGACAGTTTTTCCATCTGACTAATGGCGTACATCAACCTGACCAACTGTGCTTGCCAAGGTGCCCTGTAACAACAGACTTCACATGAATATGAAAATAAAATCCATCATTATCATAATCTAACTCATAAATTCACTGGCACATCATTTGTTATGGGCTTTGCTTGTGCATAATTTAAAATCATGGTAGAGGATGATGAGAAGTCTACTGGGGAGGATCGTCCTATATTCCCACATCAATGAAATGGAATATTTGAATAACAGCAGTCAAACATTCACATTTTCTGATTGATTTTATAGCCAGTGCTAGTGCGTACCTTTGGCCGAGTGCTTCTCCTCCAGCTGGTGCAGGTCAGGCAGGATGTGCATGCAGTTGATGCAGCAGTAGGTGAAGAAGTCCAGCAGCACCACTTTCCCAGCCAGCTCCTTGTTCAGAGACAGAGGGCCCTCCGTGTTCAGCCATTCCAAGCCTGGAGGAAATCACAGAGTAGAAAATTATGCGGTCAAACTATTCATTATGTTTAGTCACAGAACCGGCAATTTGATGGCTCAAAGCAATGCCTTGGAAACGCTTACAGCTTCAGCCGTGTTATGAAGGTATTAATGCTTTCAAGTCATTCCTGTAGATGGAGATTCTTTTATTTTTATTTTTTACAAGTAATCAAATACACTGAAGATTGTGTATGATAACATTTGTCACACTTGACTCACATGCATGTGATTAATACATTTGCTTTTATATTTTGAAAACATACTGAACCTTACAATTCAGCCTTAAATACTTGGAAATATAAATAAAAAAAATGTATCCTCCACATAAACTATATAAACCTGTTTTATTGTCTTTATGTCCTTTGAAAGAACAATTCTTGGTTTCAATATCACCTGAAAGAAACGATATAACAGCCATACGTTTTATTTATTCTATTTACTTTTACAAACACTTTATTTTATTAAAAAGTGAACAACAATGGTGTTTTGCAGTGTTGTTGTGTAAGGTAACCTCATGTTGAGCCTTATTTTAACAACACTTTATATCCCAAATAAGCAATATATATATATATATATATATAAAGAGAGACAAACATTTTAAACTATCAGTAATATAGTCATGAGGGCTTGTTTGAGGGTCCAGTTAATATCCCCAACAGCAATGTTATTCTGCTGTTGAAGTTCTACTATAGATCTCCATCTACTGGTGTGTTAGGATATTGCCAACATGCTGCATACAAAACAAAAACACAAAATAAAAAATTAGTGAAGAACAACTGAAGAAACAGGAGTCTGTCCAATAACCCTTTTATATGATGGGGCTATTCAAGGAAATGCTGATACTAACTATTCATTGCACAACTCATAAACTGTTGCAATAAAACACACCACAGGAAGCACTGCAAAAGGTGAACCTACACCAAGCAGCTGCTCTCCATTTTGTCTGAAAGTAGTCATTGTTGCTTCTTACATCAAGCTCTACAATATACTTTGTCATATTGTTGTACTATAATGTTGAAATTATGGTTTACTATGCTACTATATTGCTATACTATTACACCAGAAACTATGGCTACGTCTCATATGCAGACACATAATGTAGCCTACCTTATATTCATATGCTTTATTCTAATTTACTGTTTAATTTAAACAGATACACATGGAGTAACATTACTTTATCATCAAATGTATCAGCCTGTTGCACACTTGTTACAAAGGCCTGTTTACTGCTACTATTATCACTGACACTTTACTATGTAGTTTTCGCTCTAAATGCTCTTGTAAAACGTTGTACATTTTATAATATTCTCATTTAAATTCATGTACATCCTATTCTGTTATGCATGTCCTTGTACTACTACAACAACCGAATTTCCCCACTTGAGATCAATGAAGATGTATCTTAATCTCACTTCCCTGACTGTTTAGGGCGTGGATAAGCTAACCTTAGCAAACTTGTTAGCAAACACTTGTGTTAAAAGAATATGTATATACAAAAAGAGGAAAGGTGAGGAAACAATGGCTGTTAAGTTTTATTCTCGAGAACATGTCGAGTTATGTAATGGCATGCAAGCAAACTTTAATGCTATGGAGAGAGACAGTAATAGGGCTAAACGCTTTAACATGGTCTAACCTGTCTGGAAATCCGGTATCTTCAGATCATCTCTTTCGTCTAGTTTTTTTAAATACTCGTTGACAATATCTTCTTTCTCTTGTTGAGTCGTAGCTTCATCTAGGGCAGAATCCAGCTCACTTTGGATAGGAAATAAAGTAGAGAGGCTGGACTGGGACGCCATGTTTCTATCAACAGCCAGCCTGCTAGGTAAATGTACCACTGCGATTCAGACCGCTGCTTTCGACACTGTAAAAAAAAAACAATATCACCGGAAGGCTATTTTTCACAGAAATGTAGGTTATATTTAAATAGGTGAAAAACCAGTAAAATACTTTTTAGTTTTGAAAAAAGTAACCTTTGCTCAAACAATTAAAATAATGTGCTGAATTGTGTTAAATGTGCTGCTCTGTTTCTCTATGTGTCTTTACTTTATTCAGTGTTGTGCTGTGGCGGTAAGCGCTAACATGTCGAAACATAATAGTATGAAGCTGAAGAAGAAACTAGCTCTATATCGTAAATATTAATTATGATAAGCTAGTTCAGCACTCGGAATTATCCTTACAATTTTAAAAGGAATCTACTATAAACGTTAAAGTACTGTAACGTTTATAATTTTCGTCAACCGCGGGATGTTATCTAATCCAATCCTTGTGTTATAACGAGGGTTTTGGGGAGGAGGTAATTGGACAAACTAATGGTTTCTTTTTCTCCAAATGTCACAAAAGGACGACTCTGAAGATGACATTTGGGAATATAAACCTCTGGAGAAGAGAAAGAAGAAGAACGATTCACCGGCTGTAACTGTGACCAAAAGATGTACTGTCAGAAAAAACTCAAAGAGAGACACTTCTTTCTCTGTCAAGTCAGCTGATAGCAAAGTCAAGAAAGCTGAACATGGAGATTGTGGGTCTGTTGTTAATGGAGACAGCAGTTTAGAGGCCCTTGTTCTTCCATCAAAGTCATCCACTGCTAGGGACACAGTGCAGACAGACAATGCTGCTGATGAGGGACCATCCTCTGGAGACTTTTGCCCCATGTGTCAGATGCCTTTTTCCATTTTGGTGGTACAGACTCAAAGATGGCATGTTGCTGAATGTCTTGACACCCCCAGAGACACATGCAAAGGTACAGATATCCATACTTCATTAAAAAATAAACCGTTTGACCACATGCATCATCTTCATCAGAGACCCATCATCAAAAATAACTACATATATGTGTGTCTTGTACCTTTCATCCTGCATTCAGGGGAACACATGCAGTTGTCAATTGTCAATGGGGGGGGGGGAAACATATTTTTCAATATACTTTTTAAAATGTAACTATTGCAGGGAAGAACCTGAAAACAAGTGATTACAGGCAGACTGGTGCAGTTACATGATTCATTTTGAAAACGCTTACAATGGCAGTAGGTCTGGCAGGCAGGTCACAGCCACATAAACACATGATAAACTGACATGGAAAAAAAGAAAATGGGCTGTTATAAGGGCAGCAGGATCTATTAAGAGGTGATTGAAAGCAGGTGAGGTGGAGGGCAGGAAGGGAAAGGCAGATGAGTGAATTGGAAAGAGGTGTGCAGATAGGAATTGGCAATTAAGGGTCTGGGGAATGAAGTACAGCTGAGGAGTAGAGACAAAAGAAGCTGGTGACGACTCAGGAGATAGTTTTATTGAGTTTAGATGTACATTAACAATACATAATGCACCATATCAATTCAAATGATCTTACACTTTAGCTTATGTGATGTACCTATGTTTGTTTCTCTTTCAGCCACTTCTTTATTTACTGGTCATAATTCAAGTTTCGATATTAAGAACATGGTTAATGCCCATATTTTGGTCAACCCCAAGTTTGTAAAACAGTCAATTCTCAATTAAAATGTCAAGTCTCAATCCCAATTTAAGAAAACCTGGACTACATAAATAGTCTTTTTTTTTTTTAGAAAGCTCCCTTGAGACAGCTGAATTGATGCGATGTGTAAATTGATGTATAGGTACAGTATTTTGAGTATATGTATCGTCAAACTGTTTTATCAGAATTTGCATGTGCTGTTGCTTTTAAATTACCATTTAGTACTCTGTTGATAAGTCTGTCTACATTTTTTTCTGTTTTTCACACAGAATGTCCAGGTGGCCTCCAGTGCTGCTCCATCATTCCTAACCATTATAAGAAATGTAACCACACCGTCCTGGCCCAATGTCGAGCAAACGGTGACACAGCCCTCCTCAGTCTGTCCCAACAGGCAGGGACCAGCAGGGGGACGAGCCTCAGCTGTCTCCCAGGGCTGCTAAACAATGAGCAGGATGGCTCTACTTTAGAGACTTCCCAGGATAGTGTTCTCAGTGTTTCTCTGTTATCCACTCACAGGAATCTCACTGGAACACCTCCATCTAAACGTACAAATGGACTCATGTTGCTGCGCTCACCTGGCCCAGAGGATTTAAAGAAAAAGAAAGGCTGGTCGTCCTCTACTAAAACCAAAAAGTCTATCAGTTCTTCCCAGGAAATTAAACCAGAGCTTTCATCCCCTCCTGTGAAGGCAGCGAGTGGAAGAGACACTTGTGACGGTTTGATAAAAAGTGAACCTTCCCCTGACATCGATGATGAAATATCTTACTCTCCTCTTTCTGAGTTTCCTGCAGAGATGGAAGTCAAAAGCAGTGAATGTCGGAAAGCTCTTTTTAAAAAGGATACATTTGAGAATGAGGATGAAAACTCAAAGGTGCTGTTTAACGACGGTTTCTCAAGTGACGATGAAGTTCTCACAAAATTTTTAGATAGTTTAGAAACCAATAATAATGTGCCTTCTTCCTCTGACACCCAGCTGGAGTCAGTTACCTCATCGCCGCCCACTAATCAGCTAGCTGCTGAAAACAGAGCTCATTCAACAGGTGCTGTCAGTCCATGTCAAAGCAGCATTCAGTCTCCTCAAAGTATTGTTTTAGAGCGCCTCAGAGAATCTCTTCTCAGCTCGGATCAGAGCGTGCATTTGGAAAACTTGACTGACAGCAGTATTCAAGTGCCTCCATCACAAACCTCCACTGTCCAAGGATCTCAAAACATGGTGCCACAGAAGGGCCAGATCAAAGCAGGTCAGGCCTCCGGTATGAAGCAGACAGATATTGGGGTGTTTTTTGGTCTCAAACCCCTCAAGAAAAAGGAGAAAGAGCCTGAAAGTGGACCAAATGAACTCAACGCCACCTCTGTTCCAAGACTGGGTGAAAACTCAGGACAGAGACAACAGAAAGGAGACAGGCAAAGAAAAAGTAAGGCTGCCACAGCTGCAGATACCTCTCATGGCTCAGTGGCTGTAGATAATAGTAAAGCTCAGGCTGAACCAGGTAAAGGTAGGACCAGAGGATGGGGAGGAAATAGGTGGACCAGGAGGAACGCTGATGGAGAAGTAGAGCTGCCGCTTTGTCCCTTCTACAAGAAGATTCCAGGTGAGGGAAGGACCATGCACCATTTACTGCTGCGTAAATATGTTAATTCTTTGTGTGTTGTAATGTAAGTTTTTCTTTATTTTACATAGGCACAAAGTTTACCATAGATGCATTTCAGTATGGGGAGATCCAGGGCATCACTGCCTACTTCCTGACACATTTCCACTCAGATCACTACGGAGGGTTGACCAAGAAGTCCACATTGCCAATCTACTGTAACAGAGTGAGTCAAGTCTAGAGTATTGTAAAATGGGACCTCCATGAATATTTAATTGATTGAAGTGATTTATATTTTTGTAGACTGGTAAGATTGTCCAACAATTAGGCACTTAAGCTTAACCTCTGTGTTTTGAAATTATGACTATTTTATGACTAGATTATACCGTGGCATTTCTTTTGGAGGGACTTTTTTGCTTACATTTTTCACATTAAACATTTAAGGATGGTGGTTTTTACCCACCCCAGATTTCATTTGAGTTCAGCACTGAAACTTAATTCCACGCAAACTCAACATTTGAATAATGCATACAGTGAAAAGAAAGAGCTTTAGAGATGGCTGTAGTCTGTATTGCTTCCAAAACGTCAGGTCTCCCCTCTAAAGGCCTTTAAGTAATTGAATACTGTGCATTCTTTGAAGTTGCTACAAACCTTTTTTTTAAATAATATATCCTCTTTATTTGTATCTCATTAAAAAGCTTTCTGACTGTTCTCTTCCACAGAACTCAGAGTAAATGCCTGACCCATTTCTTATCTCTCTGCATTCACTCTAATGAAAAAGGAGCTTGCAGTTGGCAGCGATGAATACAAATTTGCCAATGGCTCTGACAATATTATAGTCGATTGAAATTTCGAGACCTTTTGTTCATGTAATACCTGGGAAATGTAGTACGACTGGGTCTCATTTAGTCCTTCTTTATCAGATTAGGAGTTTTGTCCCTGTGTGTGTGAACTAGGCAATATACTGACTGATTCGAGGTTTATAGAAAAACAAGCACACGTTTTTGATTTGATTAGAAATATAATTGGGTTACAGTAAGACATTTGAGGCTTTTTATTTATCTTACTTGGATATTTAAGAACTTGCTTCTGAAAGTAATTATAATATCCCAATAGATCTGGAATAAAATGTATTGGTGGAAGACGCTGGATAAATGGGTCATGATTTATTACAGTGTCTGCTATCTTGGGATTACAACTAAAACAGGCTTTCAAGGACTCATTGGTATTCCACTGGGGTTTTGTTTATTTGGTAGGTCACAAAAAATCAAATTGGACGCTAGGTAGGTCATAGCCTAGAAAAGTTTGATCGCTGAGTGTGGACGGTGTTACATATTCACTTATAATAAAATACAAGACAATCTCATTTGTGGTCACGTTAATGCAAAAGTGATTACAATACCCATGTTTTATTAACTTTTTATAGAATAATCTTGGTTTTACTTGCTTTTCTGCTGAGTAAACCACAGAGATGTTTTTGACTGACAGCTGCCTCTCCTGTTCAGATTACAGGGAACCTGGTGAAGAGCAAACTGAGGATAGCAGAGCAGTACGTCCACATCCTCCCCATGAACACCCCGGTCACCGTGGAGGGAGTCAAGGTTACCCTCCTGGAGGCCAACCAGTGAGTCATCAACATTACGTCAATACCCACCAGGCCAGGGTCTGACACTGATTTCAAAGTCAGACAGACTCAAGCAAACTGCCTTAATGCGTTCACTGAGGAATACTAAGAGGGTGTTCTTTTGTGAAACTGTATGCATTTTTAGTTTGTATCTAT